CCCCCCCCCATTATAGTCCTGCCTCAGGATCATTTTCCACCTGCTCAGAATACTTTCTTCTTCACATACTGTCTTTTCTGCTCTTTCCCAATTTTCTTTAAAAATCTCACATTCTCCATTTTGCCCTTCCCTGCACATCGTCAGTTTTTTAAGCTCTCCACCCAATTTATGTCTCTTTTTCTGCAGCCCCTGTATGAAGTTGATGACTTACGAGATGCATTTCACATGTTGGGACTTTGATACTAGCCTCAGAAGGTCACATCTCTGCTGAAAAAAGTCAATGAAAGAACAATCTTTCAAGTCCTCTGCTTTTTTGACTGCAAGTCTCACTTTCTTCAAGTTAACATAAAAGTATTCATATTCTTGAAGATAGAGAAGGAACATAAGACCACCTAGTTAAGGCTGAAATTGGTGCAGGTTTTGATGCAACATTGTCCTCTAGTGGGAAAAAATAGAACTGCAAGACTTGAGGACATGGTTATGCGTCAAAGTTGCTCTCAATGCTTCTGATTCAGCCTGCCTAAGGGTGAAAGACCACACAAGGTAGATACTTAAAATCAAAGTGAGAAGGTGATCTATTTTGGTAATCAATATTTTTTTATTATTTGACTCATGAATTTCAACTATATGAATATCTAGTTAATATTAAGTGCTCCATTAGAATCCCTTTGGGGTTCCAGTTTCAAATAACAAACACGTCCATTAGGACATAATGTGTAGGATCTCCTAATCAAAGTCTGGACTGTAGGATCTCCTAATTAAAGTCTGGACAGTGTTACTCCCAAAATGCCTTTCCAAAGCATTAAGTTCCAAGTATATCCTCTGTAACAGTTGTGCCCGGGCTTTGGACTAGTTTATTTTAGGTTTAACTCCCTACTGAGAATTGACATTTGTATTCCAGGTATACTGAATCAGAATTTGTATTTTAAATGGGCTCAAGTATATCAGATATGACAAGTATGTCTCAGGATAGTGCAGGGCTCAGATCCATTGTTCATATAGTTGCTATGAGTCATTGTTGACTTGAAGGCCCCTAACAACAATAACATATGTATACATAAGAATCACTTGAGTATATTATTAAAATGTTGATTTTGATTCAACATATTTGGGATAAGAATACAAATTATTAACAAATGGTCAAATAGAAATGAATGGCTTGTACATAGTGGATCTTTATTTTGTTTTGGGTTTTTGGTCTGTACATAGTCACCTTATACTGTTTTAATAAAATATGTTACAAGAGATGAGGACTAAAGAACTTTACCAAATTGATAACCTTGAGTAATAATATTCTGGCAATGGATCTTTTTAAAGAAGCCCATGGTTTTAGAAACAACAAACACCCCACATAATGTTGGAAGCGAGCTGATTGAATGTTAAGAGAAAAATATCTTTGTTATTGTGATCCTTTTTGGTCTTAGCTGTGTTAATCAGATTTAGGTTTCTTACCTTGTATTTGTGAGGGAAAGATGCTTTTCCCATTGAAATATTAACTGTATAATGGAGTGGGGTGTGTGTGTGTGTGTGAAAGACTGAGTATTTCAAAGGGGAGGATGAGAGACTATTGCAAGTAAATGGTGTTTTCCCCCCAGATAGCTTTGGGAGTCTTTTACCTAAAAAAGCTGGCATAGAATAGTTTTTAATGACCATACCTGACCATGAGGAAGATATTCAGAATAACTATATCCTAGTGCAAATATTCCCTAGCAGTCTTTGAAATGAAGGTTGCATGTAGGACAATGTTATTTTAATCATCCTTTGAGTGAGTTTTTGAAAGCACAAAATAGGAAAAAAAAATCCTTATCTCATGCATTCATGTTTTATATTGTTATATAATGCCTAATGATATTTTTGCTATGGTAATTTCCTTTTCTGATCTATTGAAATTGAATCCTAATAATATTTTATACTTTTATACCTTTAGAAATTATTCTAATAACAACATGTATAATTGTATCATAGTCTCTTCATTATAGTAATGTTAAAAAGTATCACTTGAAGCTATTCTCTATTTTTATTAAATTTTGCCCAAACAAATATTGATTCTGGCTCATTTTCAATAAACTGAATAAAAGGTTAGTAATTCAGCAAGTTTAAGTAATATAAAATACTGAATAAGATTTTTTAAAGTGATTTATTAAAAGATAAAGTAAAAAAGTCATTTGAGGACTCAGCCTGTTGCTGTTGAATCTGAACTGACTCAAAGCTGATCCTCATTTGGGTTTCTGAGACTGTAAATCATGCAGGAATTGATTGTTCCACCTTGTTCTCTCTTTACAGCATATGCTAGGAAGGTGTGTATGTGTGTGTGTGATCTCTTTTCTTCATTACTTAGGAGTCTCCTAGAGAGCTCTGGTGGCCTAGTTTACAGCACAGGAGAGGAAGACCCTAGATGAGAAGGACTGATTCTGTGATTGGGATGGTGGGAAAGAATGTGTCAGAGATGGTGAGGTTGGCACAGGATAGAGCAGCGTTTAGGGCTCTTGTACATCGGGTCGCTATGAATCGCAAGCGACTGGATAGCACATAAAAACAACAACAACAAAACAGCAACAGCACTGCCAGCACAAAGATGGTGCCCATCTAGTGGTTCGAATCTACCAGCTGTTCTGCTGCAGAAGGATGAACAATCTCCTTCCATGCATTTACAGCCTCAGAAAACCCACTGCAAGGTCAGCTAGGAATTGGCTCTGACTTGACTGCAATGAAGTGAGTAAAAGTCATTTTTTACTTCGGAGTTGAGAAAATATGAATTTAGGTCCTAGTTCCAGGAGACATCATGCCTCACTAAAAATGTAGTGTTCCATCTGTATAATGAATATGGTAATGTTAACCCTGCAAATATTCTTGGTAATATTTCAAAGATAATCAAGACAAAGCTGGCAATGTTTCAGTGAATGGAACCACCGACCTCCTGTTTGCAAGCCCCCAAATCACACCTGACATCACCCTCTGTCCTCATAGCCAATTACATAGACTTTATGTTCTAAATATTTCTTGACTTTTATGTACTTTCCCCCATCTCCATTTGAAGAAGAATGAAAACGGATGTCTCTACCAATTAAAAACCTCATAGGATACTATCTTCACCTAAAGTTCTCTGATACTATGATAAATGAGAAAAACAAGGAGATTAAATTTCTTTAAACAGACAAAAAGCAGGATCATTGTGTAATCCAAAATACCAAACACTCCCTCTGTTGGTTAAAAGGAGCAACTGCTCCCGCTGACCATTCTCAAAGGGATCACAGTAGCAAATCCTGGCTAGAATGGGGGGAAATGTGGAACAAAACTAAAAACCATAAATATAAGGTCATTGTTACTGGTCTGATGAAGACTGGTGGAACCCTTGAGACTGTAGGCCTTAGTGACCCTTTGAACCTGGGCAAAATTAACCTCCAGGACTCAACTTTCAGCCAAACAATATACAGGCTTTTGAGGTGACTCATAACACCAGGGGAACAAGAACTTCTTAGAATAAACCACGATTATCAGGCCAGAAGGACACTTATCCCAAAGGAAGGAAGGGAAAAGACAGAAAGATTAATGGAAACAAGAATTACAGAGAGGAAGTGGGAGAATTGTGGGGAAGAAGTGGGATTCCATTGTGAGTATTGTAATTAATGTTGTGTTATGTGCCATCGAGTGGCTTGTGACCCCTAGCAACCCCATGTACAGCAGCTCTGAAGCCTGCCTTATCCTGAGCCAGGCTCACTGATTTTAACACACCAATCCCCACTGCCCCAGTTACTATACAATTCATCTAATCCGGGGGTCTTTTCCTCCCGCTTACACTCCCTCCACCCTTCCAAATATGATGTCCTTCTCCAAGGACCGGTCCCTCCTGGCCATGTGCCCAAAGTATATGAGAGGAGCTTCAAAATGTTACAAAATGGAATGTGTATGGAGATTGAAAACCAGGAATTAGAAGTGCTTTTTTTTTAACAGAAAGCACTACTTACAGGATTTTGAAATTTAAATTAATGTTCAGTTTATGAAGGTTACAAATCAAACACCTAATTTTTAAATTTTTATTTCCATTTGGTCTAGTGTCAGGGTATTTATTATAAATATAATGCAATTTGACAAGTGGCTAGTCACTATATCACTTAATGACAAGTAAGTAATACAGTGCTTTGTATCTCTAGAATGAATACATTACTGTGAGTTGAATAGCATGTAAGGAAGATCTGGGCAGAGGAAATTGAAATACTAAAGAGAGACTGATGATACTACTGGGAAGGGTCAATTCCATATACTTTTGATGGGAAAGCCAATTGATACAATGCTCCTTTAACCTAGAAATTCTATTTCTAGAACCATAGTCTGCAGAAGTATTTCTCATGTGACAAGTGGATATTCCTTCCAGCATTATGCCTACTATGGAGAAACTAAAAGTAACCTAAAGCTATATCAATAATGAAATGATAAATATACTTTGCAGACTATTAGAGATTAACCATAAATAGTAATGGTATGTAGCAACTGAACAAGAAGTATTTATATGCATATGAATATAAAAATACATACATTCTTAATAAAAGTACTGCAGGAGTAAATTCCAAATGACTAGTCATGACAATATCTAGGAAAAACAGTGAGATGGAAGGAAAAACATGGAAAAGGTAAACATTAATTTTTCACCCCAAGAAAACCAATTTGACTGCTGTCAAGTTGATCCAGACTCACTGGCATGCTACAGGGCGGAAGAGAATTGCCTCTTGGGTTTTGTTGTTTTTTTAAATGAAAATTTTATTTTATACTGGTTTACTTACAATCTCAGGGTTTTAAGAATATAAAACTTTATGGACACAGGCTGCCTCATCTTTTTCCCAAACAGTTGTTGGTGAGTTCCACTTTCAGCAACTGAACGTTTTAACTACTGTGCCACCAGGAATCCTTTCACTCATTTTTGTTAAAAATTAGAACTTGTAACTTTTAGTGGTTAAAAATATATAACTAAAACAAATACTACTTAAATACTGGGGCTCAACAGGTTTTTCGTTACCATGTATTTAAATGTTCACATAATATAAAATACTCTATAACTTTAAAGCTGTGAGAAGGAACCTGGTGGTGCTTTGGCTAAGGTATTCGGCCACTAACTGAAAGGTCAGCAGGTCAAACCCACCAGCTTCTCCACAGGAAGAAGATGAAGCAGAGTGGACACCCTCTGGGCAACTTCTACTGTATTCTACATCATTGCTATGAGTCACACTTGACTTGATGGTAGTGAA